AAAAAGCCCTGTCTCTGTGGATGCACTTGCTCTCTCTTCCTTAAGAAATTCTCACCTGATCCCTGTCCCCCAGGCTAGACCAAGTCTTGTAATACATGACAGGTGTTATTTGTGTACTGTTTATTTCATGTCAGTTCCCTACATCAGACTGTAAGCTCTACAAAGTGGTGATTACGTCTGTTTTATTCACCCCTGTATACCCAGTAGCTGCACACTGTCTGACACCCAGGAGGTGTTAAGTAAACATAGATGAAGTGGATGAATGAATGAATGATCATTATTATTGTTGGCAAGTCGTGGTATCAGGTGTGGAGATCACACACCTAGAAGAAAGTTGTTTGAGTTGATCTACGAGGCTTATGAAGAAGACTCCACACTGTGCTTTCCAAGTCCCAGAACTCGCAAGTTCTCACTCATCGTTGGCTGGGTCCAGGTCTCCCATTGCTGAGGATGGAGGCATTTCATGATTTAAAAAAAAGTCTAGCTTCAGTTCAGCAGCTGTTTGCCTCCCCTCTCAGTTTCACACCCCCAGGTTGGAGATCTCCAAGGGAAGCCCCAGGGAGAAACTCAACTCAAAAACTGGCACCCCTTTTACTCAGGGTCCGGAGCCCCATCTTCCCCTGGGCTGCGGTGTTGCCGTTAGAGGCGGTCTTCATTTGCATCCACCATTTTCACACGCTTTGCACTCATCTGCGCTGGTATTCAGAGAAAAACGCTGCCATGACAACTGCCACAACAGATGGTATTTGTTCAGTCTCCAAGCTTCCGAGGAGCTACACAGCAGTGCTTCCGAGGTTTGCATGTTTTACGTTATCATGAGACCCAGTCCAGCCGTCATCAGGGTTGAAATGTGAAGTTTTCCATTTGCCTCCTGTCCCCTCTTCTCTTTCCAGTAGTTTGGCACTTGTTTTGATTTCCCTTGCTCTCTGGCTGTCTCGGGTGGAGCTCTATGTCTGGATGTGGGAGACAAAGGCTACAGCATACGTAGTCCCTGGGAGGTGCTCTGCCAAGTCTGACGTTCAGAGACCATTGAGAAACTCTTCAATGTTAGGATGGAGACTGGCTGAGACAGGGAGAATGGCTTCATTGCAGGTGTTTGCTACTGGGTGTTCACGGACTGCACGGGCTGGAGGCCGCATGTGGCACCAAGCAAAGGAAGCCCTGGGAAGTGCACCTTGGTCTAAACCCTAACTCTCCCTCATTCATCCAGCATCTGCCTGCTCCCAGGGTCTCTGAGCCACACTGTGGTTCCACTTCTGGGCTCCAGGCTTCCACCCCAGCTAGTGCCGTGAACTTCAGGGACTCCAACCCAGAGCTATGGCAACAACTAGAACAGCCTTCTCACCCTGCCCCCCTCGGCACCACTGGAATGTCCAAGTTAGTACAGATTTCTTCAGCTAATTTTGGAAAGCAGTTTATATTGGCCGCTATGTGTTAATGAACAGCCTTGGCTGTATTTACATACTTTGCTGGTTAAGAGTCTTTTCCTTTGCTCTGCCCCCCCACTTTGACTGGGGCTTCATCTCAAGCTGTGTGTCTGGATCACACATGAGCCCCGGTAGAGAGGGGCCCAGGGACACCCTTGCGCTGTAATGAGGTCCAGGCTCCTGCCACCTGGTCGTTCCCCTTCCAGGGTTTGGTGGCAGCTTGCAGTCTCAATGGGACATGAAGATGGGTGGTTTACCTGGACAGTATTTGGAAGGAAACCTTAAGGTGAATTTTAATCACAAGAGAGCCTGGATCAAAGAAACCTTCTCGCCTTCTGATCTCATTCCAAGTGAAGCCGGAGGTTGGAATTCACATCTGACCCAGCTCTGCTTCCCGGCTCCGCTGTCTTCCTGGGGTGCAGATGAAAAGCGCGTGGGGCTCCGCCGCCGGGTCGGGAGTGATTTTTAACCTCCACAGAGCGTTATTAAAGAATGGATTTGAGACTCAGGAATGTTTTCTGAGCTCCTCCTGTGAGCATAGTAGAGGGGAAAGAAAATTCAAGGCTCCTGATGGGCATAGGAATTGTCTTTTAAGTGATGCCCCCAGTTCTTGTTTCTGGTTTTAACATTTTCAGGGGGTGCAGCCTAGCCATGTGTGTGCTACTCCTGTTTCACCTCTTCAGGAAAAAGCACCTCTTCTCTTCACCTAACGAGGGAAGGTCCTCACGCTTCCCTTGTTCATATGCTCTGGTTCTCCCTGAAATGGATGGAGGTAGGGGTGTGCGTTGAATGTGTCTGTGAGCCCCAAAGAGAAGCATCAGATAAACATGGGCTCCTGGACAGGGAGGAGGACTCTGGACCATCACCACCAGGAGGACCGAGAACCGTGCCTGGCCCGGAGCGGACATGCGAACTACTGTGTTGACTGGATCAATGATTAAAAGGATCGTGACGCTCGGGTGCATCAATCTTGGCCCTGTTGACATTTTGGATTGGGTAACCCTTTCTCGTGGGGGCTGTCCTGTGCAATGTAGTGTGTTCAGCAGCATCCTTGGCCTCTACCCACTAGATGCCAGGAGGCGATCCCCACCTAACCCCACCCCTGTTGTGACAACCCAAAGTGCTGCCAGACATTGTCACCGGTCCCCTGAGGGATGGAATCCTTGCCCCTTCTCTCCTGCTCTCCCCCCCCAATGGGGAACTACCGATCTAAATTATGAAATTCATGGGAAGAATAACAGGGCTTTAAAAATCAACAGGAGGAGAAAAGTATTCTAGGTAACTTATTTATAATAATTCATTGCTTTAATAGATTTTAACATTAAAAGAAAGCCCAGTGGGTAGCTGAATTGAAGTATGCCCAGGGTAGCCTTGCAAGGAGAAATTACTGTACACTTTAAATGCTATGTGTCGAATGCTCCATGAATGGGATAAGCAAATGCTCTTTATGTTCCTGGAAGGCGATTTCTACAGATACAACACAGAAGCAGAGCCGGGTTTTCCCTGGACATGTCAGTGGTGACTTTTAGTTTAGTGTCACACAGCTGCACTGTCGGTGAAAACACCTAGCTCGGGTCAGTCCGTTTACATGACACGTGCCAGGATAACATCAGGTGGGCTATTTTATTTTTCAGCATTAACAGGTTCAGGGGTGGTCAGCTTTTTCTTTTCCTCATTTTCTATGAGAACATCACTGCCAAAGCCTCGTTTATCGGCCATGGGCATGATAATATATTAAAGAAATAGGATTGTAGGTAGAGACAAGGGGTAGAAGAGGAATTTTACAATTTTGCCTGATTTAAATATTAGTGCCTCTCTGTGGGAGTGACAAGTCCTTGTGAGTTATTTTGGCATATTACCACTGTGTTCAATAGCATAAATGAGGACTGGTAATTATGTTCTCAAAATCGGATTTTGTCATGGGGTAAGATAGCATTGAGAGGTATAATTTTTATTATTCTTACAAACAGAAGCAAATTGCTCTAAAACACCTTCCACGGGGACTTCTGTCCATGCCCTTCCTTCCTTCCCCGCCCCCTCCCTCCAAGATGGAAGCACCTGGCCATCACTGTCAGCCATTCTGGTCTGCGCAGAAGGAAGGAGAGTTAAAAGGGATCTCACTGTAGAAGTGAGATCTCACTTCCTCCCTCTCTGTAGAAGTGATCTTCTGTGGTGGTGGCAGGGGTACCCCATAGCATCAGCATTTATTTAGTTTGCAGGAAATTGCATTCTGCCCCTTTTCCTTGAGATGAAAAAATGTCCCCTTGAAGTGTGCTGGAGGCTGGGAAAGAGATGGGAACAAACCTGAGCTAGAAAACACCACAAACTCGGGGTTGATGGATTCTTCTAAAATAAGTGCAGTTTTATTTAAGTGTGCCAAAGCTTAATTTAAATCATTCGGAAGATGTGAAGATTGAGAAGGAAAGTGCCGGGGTCAGGGAGGGGGACGTGACCTTCAGGAAGACCGCTAGAAGACTGGAACAGACTCTACTCCCACTAGAGCTGGTAACATGCAGACACCTCACTCTCTGGCTGTGAAGGAGCCATCAGAATATGGCTCAGGGACAGGGAAGGAAAAAGGTCACATGTACACTGTGAAAGACAGTCATTTATTAGTGAAAAACAAATTCCGTGAATTAAATACTGGTTTGGGTTCTTAAGAATGCTGGGAGGTCAGGTGCCTGGGAGGTCAGGTGGGTGTCAGGTGGTTGGGGAGATAGGGGGATCTCCACTGTGAAATGGCAGTTGTGGAAATTCAAAGACCCCTGTGTCATGTCAAAGGCAATTCCTTTCACTTGTGGTCACCATTGACGTTAATCAAGCCCGAACATTTTCCCCGTAGACCAAAACATAATTAGCCCTGACAACTGAAGTTGAATGTGACCTTTGGGAATGACCTGATTTTTTGTGTGTGTGGGCTGGACGTTGGCTCACCCTTGACCATGGCATCAGCCCTGGCAAAGGTGGGAGGCCTCCCGGTCTCTGCCCCGTGGGCCCCTTCTTGCCACAGAAAATACGAAGGGCCAGAGGGGTTTAGCAGTCACAGCCTTCCCTGTGCCCCTGCGATGCCTGCCATCCTGAGAATTTTGTGAGTAAACACTCCCCAGATTCCTGCTGAAACTCCCGTTCATGTTTGTACATTTGACTGCCTGCTGCCTTGGCAGCTAGAAATTTCTCCCAGCTGCTGGTGGACGGGTGGGTCTCCTAACCTTGTCCCCACCTCCGTGTTTCTGGCAGCTGCTCAAGTCTTCAGGATTGCGCCAGCGACGTTGATCAGCATGGGAGCTCCAGCTCCACCCCGGTTATTTTTGGCAGTTGTGAGCCATTCGAGGCCCCGACATTTGGCTCCGTGTGGTTGGGATGTTAGGTAACCCCTTCCTGTGCAAGTACAGACAGAGGAGAGTCCTGACCTGCATCCATTCCTGTCCTTCTGTTGTTCCATGTCAAGAACTTCAGCGAATGCACAGGGAACCCTCTCTCCCCGACATGGCACTTTGTGTCTAATGAGAGGTGGCTCTGGAGAAGGCTGAATTTTTACTGAGTGTATGTTGTTGTGTTTTTTTTTCCTCCTAGATTGAAAACATAGATGCCTGCTTGAACTTTCTGGCAGCTAAGGGAATAAACATTCAGGGGCTGTCTGCAGAAGGTGAGTCAGCGCCCGTCACAAAGCTGCCTTTTCGTCACTGGGAAGGCCCACCTGTCACTAATTGACAGCATGAATGCAGCTAAGACGCGAGATGCTGGTGGCCTCTTCTGCTTTTGTCTTCCTCCTGGTTCTGAGGCATCTCAATGCTCGTCTGGACGTGAGGGTGCCAACTTTTTGACAACGGAAAGAATCACTCCGGGAATGCATATTCAGCCATGTTGGCCGTGTCTGTCAGAGCAGTGAAGACAGCGCTTGCTCCTCTTTTAGAGGGGCTTAATCAAACAATGCCGATTTTATTCCCTTGACTAGTAGTTCGGTTAATTATCAAGCCGGGCCTTATCTGTGGGAGAGAGAACACTTAACCACAGAACATATTTAAAATGCACAGTTCCCAGGGAGAAATGCCCAGTCCTTATCTTTTACTTTTATTAGAAGAAGCAGTACTTTTCCTAGCTTAAAAAAATTAAAAAGCACTTGCTATATTAATGAGATGCTACATTTTGACACCCTGATTAGTTTTTAATTGACTCACATTTGGTGGCTCATTAGCCCATGAGCGTTTGCCGGTGGTGTGCTATTCAGTTAGGTCTTGGTCTGGAGATGGCTGGTGTGAATTCCCAGCCTCCCCAGGCAGCATCTCGCTCTGGAAACTTGCCCTCTCTCTCCTGTTTGTAAATACAAGCAGCTGCCAGCTCCAAAGCTGCCATAGGCCCCGGTATCCTCCCAAACTCATTAGGCTGCACCTGCCTCCACTTTTCCCAGAACAGGTAAAGCAGTTTGGGTTTCGGATGACACCACTTTTCCCTAGCAAGGTTGGGTTCCGAAAAGATGCCTGTTAGCATCTACTCTGGTGGTCAGGGTGGGGAGGAGGGGAGCAGTGAGGAAGGACGCAGCCCCTTGGAGCAGGTAAGTTTGCAAACGTGCTGGATTCCTTTGGGGCCTGCTTCTTGCCTCTGCTGTGCTGTGCAGGGAAAGCTTGCTCTTCCTGGTCGTGTTTCTGAACTGCAATCTCTTCCAGGGTTGGGGGCAGGGGATGGCTGCATCCGGTGCCTCGTGGGTGTGTTGTGTCTTCGAGTGGAAGCCCCCTTGTGGGCACTCCAGTGTGCAGGGCCTGGCGCAGGTCAGGCACGGTCACCCTGCTGCTTCCAGAGCTCTCTGAAGCAGCTGTTGGGTGGGGAGCCCTGTTCCCAGCTCTGAGAGGAGGGTCCTTGGTGGGTTCCCTCGCCCTTGGGGCGTGATCCCTCCTCCAGGGGGTTGAGTAAGGTCCGTGTGGAAGGACATGTGGGGTTCACAGTGCTGGGGCGAAGGATGATTGGTGAGTGGTGTTTCATGGACAGGTAGGGAGACACAGGTTACCCTTCTGAGGAGGGTATTTCCTCCTGGTGGAGAGTTCCTGTGCCTGCCTGTAGGTGGCAGGCACACCCTCCTCCTGGTTTCTGGGAGGATTGGCCCCTGGCCTGTGCCCCCAGTCTACTCTGTAGACTTCTACAGAGTCTGCTGAGCAGCAAGGAGTCTCTGGGTTGTGGGCCTCTGGCCACTCTGCCATCTCTTGACCCCCAATTGCCCTGCCTTCTGCCTTGTTCATCTCCACACACCCCTGACCACTGAAGTTGAAATTTATAATAGGCTAAGTTTACAGGTGAGGACACTTTGGCTTAAAGAGGTTATAGGTGATATCCCTAAGGCTTGTAGCCAGCAAATGGCAGAATCAGGACTTGAACCCAGGTGTCTGTGACTTCAGAGCTGGGTGCCTTTTTAGGACAGCAGGTGGATAAGATCTAGGCATGCCATGTACAGGTAGAAAACAGCAAAAAAGACTGAGAAGTTTTGTTCACTGGACCGCAGCATCAGAAGGTGCTGGTGGAGCCCGGGAGGCGTGTCCTGCAGAGACGCTCAGCCCTCACCCTTTGTAGATGTTGCAGCCTGTGAGTCTGGGTATAGAGAGGCGCAGGGGCAACCAGTGTGTTGCAGTATCAGTTACTGGGGTATAGCTATGAAGTTGGCATTTATGGCATTTCAGTAACTGCCCCCAGCTGTGCTGTTTTGATCCCACATCTTTCCTGCTGAGTCGAGACTCACTCAATGATATCTTGGCTGAATCTGTAACTCTTCAGTCATGCTCATCATTAGAACAGTTTTATGCCAATACTTATGACTCAGTCTTGTGTGTTTTTAAACTTCAAGCTCAGACTCTACTCAAAGCTCCTTTCCCCCATGCCTCCCAGTGCAAGCGGCTTCGGAAGGTTGAAGGGGGCGCAGACATGGTAACTTCACTCCCTTCCCTTTGCCTCGTTTCTGTGCCCGAGCCCCCAGGGCTGAGGCAGCACAGAGAAGTGCAGTATGGCTGGTGGTAAAGTTGCTGTCTTCCTCTCTGGTAATTGCCACTGTCCCTGGGTGAGACTGTCTGCCCTGCTGACCAGGGACTCACCCCGATGCTGCTTCCTAGGCCTTGGTAGACTTTTGTGAGATTTGGCCAGCTTTTACAACTCATTTCCAGCTGGTCCCATCCCCTGATTCAGGCCACCCTCTGTCCCCACGCTAAGGTGCTCCTGGTGAGCCTACAGACCTCGGTCACATGGTCCTTCCATTATCCACCATCAAACCAGCAGGCAGGTGTGGGCTCCATCCTCCACTGCAGTAGGCAGAGCAGGCCTCCTGTCACCTGGAAGCCACCCACCATGTGATCTCTTCTCAGCTCCTTCCCCTCACTCAGGTGTCCAAGAGGCAGACCTGCCAAGTCTCTACTAAGCAGGTGTGCAGCTCGGGACTGGAAGGCCAGCACCCCCACTTGGAATGATTCTTCCAGAGCCTCCTTGCCTTTGACTGCAAGGAGTACATGGCCCCACCTTCTTGCTCCTTGGTGAGGGAGGAAATTCCCCGATTCTGTGATCATCAAACATTGCCACCCTCCCATACCCTCAAAACTAGTCTCCCATCTATATCTACTTATACCGATTTCTTGGGAAGTGAGGGATGGTTTTTGGTGGTAAGACTGTCTCTGAACCTATACAGTCTTAAGGGATGGTGACTGGCTCCAACCTTTGTCAACTCCTTGAACTTAAAAAGCAAAGGTACTGCTGCCTGGTGTGGCTCAGTGGACTTAGTGCCAGCCTGCAAACCAAAGGGTTGCCAGTTCAGTTCCCAGTCAGGGCACATGCCTGAGTTGTGGGCCAGGTCCCCAGCTGGGAGCACAGGAGAGGCAACCACAGATTGATGTTTCTCTTCCTCTCTTTCTCCTTCCCTTCCCCTCTGTCCAAAAAAATGAATGAATGAATGAATGAATGAATAAATAAATAAAATCTTTAATTAAAAAAGCAAGGATACTTAGAGCCTTTATCCTCAAATGGACCTCATTCACAATTTCAGATTTACAGAAATCTCACTGGACATACTGTTAAGTTGTGGGAATAGAAGCCATTCATTAAGAACTTACCATGTGTCAATCACTGAGCTATTAATAAATGCCATGACATTTTATATCTTGTGTAATCCCCCAGCAACCTTGCAGGGTCAGTGTTCACATCGTCCCAGTCACACAGGTGAGCACATGGAGGCCCAAAGGGGTGAAGTTGCACGTGGGAAAGGGGAGGCCCACAAGGTCAGCAGTGGGTCAGCTTCTCACATCTGCTGATTCAAAGGCCTGGTGTTTCCTACGACTCACTGCTGCCCATACTTGGAACCACCTGCTTAACTAGAAAAGCATTATAGTGCTTAAAGAAATAATGTAGTTTTAATGCTTTTTATTTTCCCTTTGAAGACGATTGAGTGCCTCGAGGCGGCTCTTGGTGGAAAAAAAATATATGTATCTATATCAGCAGTTGGAAAGCCCCGTAGGTACATCTCCACCCTTTCTCAGTGACTAAAGCTGGTTTGGGACTCAGGAGAGTATGTGCACCTGTCCTTGAAGCACTTCAGCAGCTCGGGCCCTGTCCTGACCTGCCTGGTAGAAAGCCTTTGTTCCTGGCACAGACAGCCGATGCCTGCGGCACAGGCTACAGGCCCAGCTGAGCCTGTGGAGATGCCACTGGTTAGAGGAACATCCCCTGGACCAGGCCTCCCTGCCCCCTCAGTGTTCCCAAAGGCTAGACCCTTTCATTTGCTCTTGGAGACTTGCCAGAGTCCTGTGAACTTGGGTTTCACCCTGCCCTGGGTGATTTTTGACATCCCTTTAACCCCTCCCCAGCCCACAAGCCACCTGTCATGATTGACCATCTGTAAACCTGTCCCTGGGAGGAAGTATGGCCTTTGTCCCTGGGAGTTTGAGAGCACCTGGCGTTTGCGCCACCTGGCCCTGAGCCCATCTTCCTGTACTGGAGAAGCAGAGGTCCCAGGGTATGGCTTATCCTGGTTAGCTCACCAGATGTTTGCGGGCACATCCTGTATGCCAGGCATAGCGCTAGGCACTGGGGTGCACAGAGAGGTGAGGCAAGTCGTACAAAACTAGCTTTCATTCCAGTTCATCGGAGAGCCGTGCTAATGGTATGTCCAGGGTCCAGTGGTGCCCAAAGAAAGGCAGTGATCAGCTCTGCCTGGGGTAGTCAGAGGCTTCAGAGAGACCGCGATGCTTCCCCTGGATTTTACAGGACGCTTCAGCATTCACCAGACAGGAAAGGAAGGTGAAGAGAAATCTAGGCAGGAGATGGGGCATGGGTAACAGGATGACAGCAAAGGACTAGCTGTTCATTAGTGTTTCAGATGGAGAAAGAGAAGCAGGAAGATCCTTCCTGATGCCTTCAGGAAGGAGTGTATGCTTTTGAAGTGAAATCAGTTGCTGAGTTGAGATCAGACCTGGGTTTTCTGCTCTGATGTCCAGAGACCTAGATGCTGAGCTTGCTTCTTTCATCCTGAGCCAGAAAGCAGGAGGTCTTCTGAACCATTTGCATAAAAGCAACAGGTGAGTTTGGCGGTGCATGTGGGGCCATTTCTGCCCCTCAAGCAGAAGGGGCCCTGTAAGCTCTGCTCCTGCTCCATCAAGCCCCTCCCGCTGTGGGTAGAGTCATCACCAGTTTGGCAAGCTGTACACAGAAGGGCTGCAAGAGTCAGGTGGAAAGTTACATGGTTGATGCAGGTGGAGTAGAAGGCCTAGCTGGAGGAATAATGCCATTCAATCAAAAGTCCTGTCAGTTGGGCAGAGCCTTATACCACCCACTGTGGCTTAAGGCGCTTGAATAGGGATCCTGCAAGTCTGTGGTCTGAGGCAACCCTCCCTTTGGCTCTGAGTCTCTGCTTCCCTACAAAGCAGGTTCCTTTGTGTTAGATTATTCCTTTGTAAACCAGCCTGTGGTTTCTCTCAAATAATGTTGAAAGAAAATAACTCTCCTATTTATTCTACTCTTTGTGCTCAGCATTCCCTCCAGCATCTATGCAGATTAGTACCAACCAATGGGAACAAAGAGATCAGTCAGAACCCAAAGAAATTCAGAGTCAAGGCCACTGAATTCTAATGGAAATTGGAATATGGTTAATAGTTTGTTTTTCAGTTTACATGGGGATGGCTGTGGAGGAGAAAGGAGAGCAGAGTTCCTACGCTGATTCAGACACCAGCTAGCCCTTGGACAAGTCAACTCTCTCTAGGTCTACATTGTTTTCCTTCTTAGGCATCAAGGGCTGAGGATAGTTGATCAGGTACAAAATGATACTCTTTCCACAGCCTTGGGAAATGACCAGAGGGGAACAGTTGTGGGCTGGCAGAATGACACTTTGTTTTTAGGTGGCCTGTGGGACCCGTTTACCAGGCCTCAGGAAACCCAGACAGATGACATTTAGAACTATGGGAGGGACACATTTCTGGCTGTTGGGCAGACAGTCTGCCACAGACCACCCACAGCATAAACTGTGTGGCTTTCCACCCCAAACAGAGCCTTTGCTACTCTTGAGTTTTGTGTTCTGAGAAGAAAATTAAACAGTTCAGTGTCCACCAACTGACTGGTGAGTGGGTAAGCCAAATGTGGTATATCCAGGCACTGGGTAATCATGCTGAACAACGTAAAGAGACTCACGGTAATTACTCTGACACGGGTGAACCGGGAATATGTCATGCTCGGTGAGAGACGGCAGCTGTAAAAGACCACCTATTGCACGATTCCCTTTATATGAAATGTCCAGAAAAGGCAAATCTGTTGAAACAGAGCAGATTCGAGGTGGCCTGGGACTGGTGTGGGAGTTGAATGCATGCGAGCATGAGGACTCTTCAGGATAAGGAATATACTTTACAACTAGGTTGTTACTCAACTTACTAAAAATTGTTGTACATTTAATTTTATGGATGTGAACTATACCTGGGGAAAAAAAGCTGTTAAAAAAAAAAAAAACAGCAGACGGTTACTACTGAGTTTTCTCTAACATGAGATAGATTCGTGACCAATTTTCTTCTTGACACCCGTGCCTGGCACAGAGCAGCCGTGCAGGGACAGCAGGCCAGCTCAGGCTTCCTTTGGGTGAGGAGCCCGTGGTGAGTGCTGAGCAGGCTGCAAGGAGAAGGGCTGTTTCCTGAACCAAAGAGGGAAGTGCTGAGCCAGGCGGTGTCCTGGGTGCTTTGCACACGTTTTCTCATTGAGTCTGCACTTAATTCTCATAACAACCCAGTGGGAGAGGTATAACATGCATCTGCCCATATTAAAGACAAAAACTGAGGTTCAGAGCTGAATCTTTGGCATACTCAAAGTCTATAAACAAAGGACTACAGACATATAAATAAACCCAGGTCTTTCTGGCTCCAAAAATTCATGTCTTTTTGTAGTAAAAATGTTGCCTCCTGAGAAAAAGTGCGTTCATGGGAGCATTGTGCTCTTCGACAAATAAAAAAGATGTTTTAGGGAATCATGCAACACACCGTTTTGAACAATAAATGACTCACCACAACAGGAAGAGAAGGTGACAAAGCCGGCTCCTGTTGCCTGGGCCAGGCTGGTAGGTTAGGAGGTTGCTGATGGGCACGTGCCGGCCTTTGGCGGTGAGCAGCCTCTGAGCCCCTCAAATGCCGATTTGCAAGTTCCTTCTTTGTTTTGTTTGCAGTGGTTTAAAAATTGTGTTACGGAATGTTTGACACATTCCACAACAAAAGAATACTTACAGAAGAAGAATAAAGAATACTGAGATGACCACCAGCTAGCTTAATAAAATATTATCTGGTGTGCATTTAAATTCACTGCACAGGATGAGTATACAAGCAAGCCAAGTTCTACAGGGTTAGGAGACCAGGCTTTGAGTCAGAAAAACCTAGATTCAAATCCCAGTTCCAGCATTTATTACCTTGAGAGGTCATAACATTTTCCTGAGCCTCTGCTCCCCCCTCAGTAAGAGAGGCACACTAATACTCACTTCCCAGGGTACAGGGATTGAGTGAGATCGTTCAGGGAAAGATCACTCACCTGGTACATGCTGACTATACAAGACACTGAAATCCTTACCTAGATTTCATCTACGAGGAGAGGTTGTCTAATGTCCCAAGATCCATGCCAGCTCTTGTTATCTCACCTGGAATCTGTCCCTAACTCCCAGCACTGTCCAGCTGGGTGGCCACGGGTGTGTCGCTTCCCCCTCTGTTTTTCCAGGAGTAAAATGAGCCAACTGCACTGTCCCATCCAGCCTCCCATTCCCTGGCCCTGGTGCGCTTGTGAGAACATTTAGAAGCAGACGTGTGCTTCTCTGTTGGTTTCTTGAGGATGAAGCAGAAGCAGAGTTGAAGGCTTAAAGCTGAACTAGCCAAAGAAACTGGGAGGTTGGCCACCTCCTTGGATCCTTCTCTGTTCCCTGCACTGCACACGGTGTTTATTTATAAGCCTGATTCGTCCTTGTCACTTGTGGCTTCCATTTGTCATCCTGGTGTAATTAAGAGCACTCCCCTTTCCCCCCCAGTCTCAAAGGTGTTATGGTTTGTGTGATAAATTATAAGGAGTTTTCACCATAGTGAAAATCCTCATTTTTAAGGCATGAAGCTGGAGTTGTATGGGAATCTCCTATAGGACTCTGGGGCTATACTCATCACACGGTAACCGAGATCGGTGAAGGGCCTCACTGTTCACAGTATGTTTTCTGTATATGCTCCCTTTTGACCTGCAGAACAGCCTTGTGGGATGGGGCAAGCTGTGTCAACATCACCACGGAGGCCCAGAGAGACTCCGGGACTTGCCCTGGGTTGTGCAGCTAATATGTGGTAGAGCACAGACTGGAACTCGGGGCTTCGGTTTTCTGAAAGCTACACTTCTGTCAGTTTTGTCCCTGACAACCAGCACCTGCTGACTCCCAAAGTAGCGGGTGAAGGCTGGGTTCTAGGAGTTTGAATTGTCAGTTTCTCCAGAACTCAGCCTGGTTAATCAGCCCCACCCAAGGCGCTGGCAGGTCCCCATACACACCTCTGCCCTTCGCTGGTCCTTGGGGGAAACTCTCGTTTCCTTTATCAGCAGCCTCCCCCCCAGCCTGGGGGTCTGTGTTACCCACACAGGTGAGGCTTCCCTTCCTCTGACCCCCCTCCCTCAGCCTAGAGAGCCCCCAAAGTTCCTCCTTCTGCATCCTTCATGCTGGGTGGTCCTATCACTCACCCTCAGGGTCAGCTTAGACCCTGGTTATCGCATCTGGTGTTAACAGACCTGCATGTGAAAATGGATTGTCTGGGAAAAACACCCTTGTATGTCTGTAGCCTCTGCTCATGAATAAATATTTTATTCCTTCTCTGCAGCTCTTTACATTTTAACATCTGAAAAACTCCATCCATATAAAAATATTCTCATCTCCACTCCACTCTAATTTCTTTTAATATAGGAAAGTTTATGCATGAGTTCTTTCTTTCTTTCCTCCTTCCTTCCTTCCTTCCTTCCTTCCTTCCTTCCTTCCTTCCTTCCTTCCTTCCTTCCTTCCTTCCTTCCTTCCTTCCTTTTTATTGATTATGCCATTACAGTTGTTCTATTCCCCCCTTCATTCCCCTCCACCCTACCTCCCCAATCCCATCATTACCCCCCCTTTAGTTTATGACCATGTGTCTCAAGTTCTTTAGATTCTATATTTCCCATACTATTCTTGCCCCCCCATCTATTTTCTACCTACTGTCTATGCTACTTATTTTCTGTACCTTCTCCCCCCTTCTCCTCCTCCCACTCCCCTGTTGCTAACCCTCCTTGAGATCTTCATTTCTATGTTTCCTCTCCTGATCTAGCTGTCCTTTTAGTTTGCTTTTGTTTTAGGTGTGGTTGTTAATAACTGTGAGTTTGCTGTCCTTTCACCAAGATTGCTCTATCCAGCAAAACTTTCATTTAGAATGGAAGGACAGATAAAGTGCTTCTCAGATAAGATCAAATTCAAGGAGTTCATCGATCACCAAGCCCTTATTATATGAAATGCTAAAGGGACTTACCTAAGAAAAAGAAGTTAAAAAATATGCATGAGTTCTTTATAGAAGCAAGTCCTCTAGACTATCCCCACACCCATCCCCAATTGAAATGATTTATTCAGCGGACAGGGGAGACACAGAACTGTGTGTTTGAGGGCAGGGTGACCAGGTACAGCCATGTAAGAACTTGGGAGCGGGACAGCAGCCACCTGGCACACTCCAGGTGGCTTGAAGCATAGAACACAGGCTTGGTGGAGCCCCGTGAAGACCAGTGAGTTTTCGCCGTGCCCAGGCTCCTCCGTCCCCAATGGTTTGCCTTGCCCCTAGAACAAGCTCTGTCTTGCTCAGAACTTCTACTTTTCTGCTTATGCCTTTACTGAGAGTTCCCTTCGGGCATTTGCCAGACCTCCAGTTGCAACTTGTCTCATGTATCTGTTCTAATCCCAGCAAGGAGAATAAGCTAATTTCTTTGTGGTTGAGGCCTGATTTTAATGGCCTTGTGATACCAGGTACATAAGTGTTCAGGAAATCTGTCCTTTCCTAGAGGAATGCAGCTCCTGTGAGGGCGGAAGCAGCCCGTTGAACTAGAGCAAGAAAGGACTCCTCCGCTAACCCCTGTCTCTGTTACCTTGCAGAAATCAGGAATGGAAACCTCAAGGCCATTCTAGGCCTCTTCTTCAGCCTCTCCCGGTACAAGCAGCAGCAGCAGCAGCCCCAGAAGCAGCACCTCTCCTCACCTCTGCCGCCTGCCGTGTCCCAGGCAGCCGGGGCCCCCTTCCAGTGCCAGGCTGGCACTCCTCAGCAACAGGTGCCAGCCACTCCCCAAGCCCCGTGCCAGCCTCACCAGCCAGCACCACATCAGCAGTCAAAAGCACAAGCCGAAATGCAGTCCAGGTGGGGACTCCATGCCAACTGATAAGTCTGTTTTCTCAGGGGCCCTCCTTCACACCCACTGAATTCTGGCCTATTCAAATGTGTTTCTTATTTGTATTTTTTCAGTGCTGAGAATTCCTGATAGTGAGGAATTAGCAGGACCTTGAAATGGAGGCCTCTTCCTGGGCCTTGTGGTGACGTGTACTTTTTAAAGTCAGAATCCCCAGCGGCCGAAGCCAGTGAGCTGCTCCTGCCTTAACTCTGCCCTGTGACACACACAGGCTCCTGTGCAGTAAACAGCCCCTAAAACAGACTGCAGGCTTGTTTGGCGTGTTTGCCTACTAGCTGGGTTCAGAGTTACATGTGTGAGTAATTTCGCTTATTGGGGGCCCGGGTTGTCCTCCAGCAGCTAGCTCTGCTTTGCCCAGAGAGAAATGTCAAGAACAAAGAAGAAGAAAGATGGCCGGAGGAGGGCCTGCATCTCCGGGTGGGAGCAGTGACCATTAAATGCGCCTGGGTCTGTGGGCCCTGAGTGTTGGGAGGGGTCAGCGGCGGCCCTCTGCCCTGCAGCACCAGGGCCTGGGTTTTGCTGGTGTTCCCACAGGGGCCGAGGCTTGCCAGTGGGGCTCACCGCAGAAAGGGCCAGGGGGGTGGCCGTCTGCTGTGTGGCCATGGCCATAGTCACACTCCTAAACAACTCTGTGGAAGATCACTTTGTAAAACGTTTGTTTTGATGGCAGAAAAAAAAAAAGGAGATTGGGAATTAGAAAGTTTGAAAAAAGACCAATAGTTGTGTTGTTTTGTTTTAAGCTGTAAGCCTTTAGCTATCAAACTTCAGTATCACAGATCAAATTGATCGCTTGGTTTTATTTAACGTGTGCTGAAGAGTAATGGTCTTCTGCTTCCAGTCCCAGAGCGCCAGCATGGGTAACCACAGGGATTCTTGTGCACCTCCACACCCTTGGTAGGCTTCTGTAGTTGGGCAAAGAAGCACAAAGCGGTTCAGACAAAACAGGTGCCTTACAGACAGTTTGTTTTCCAACTTGAGAAGTCCTGGTTGTGATGTTGTTAAAACCAGCAGTGATGGGTGTGATGTAAATCAGAGCCCCTAATGGGTGATCAGTTGTACCCAATTCACGGTGTGGAAATTTGTGGGCTCGAGGAGATACCTGGGTCAGCACCGAGGAGCAGATGGCGGGGCAGCCAGCCTGGCACCCTTTCCCTGAAGAGCCGTTCTCATCAGAGGTTCCCTGCCCAACCTGCATGATGGGGTGACCAGGGCACCGTTTCCCACACTGATTCTTCTGGGGGCTTATTCCCCAGATGATAGCTTACCAGGTGGAGGGTCCTATTGGTGAAAAATTGGGAAATAATCTGGGCCAAGCTGTTATAATTGTTTTTGGAGTTCTCATATCCTTGAATCTGCTCACACACATTTATTTAGCTGGTGCTTGAATGACTTCTGTGGATTGGCCACTGTTCTAGGCCCCCAAGAGGTTAAGGGTGGATGATACAGCCAAGATGTTTGTTCTGTACATTCTATTAGAGGAAGCAGGCGAATAGAGAGGGAAGAGGAATATCAGATAGTGGTGTTGCGATAAGATTATGGGATTCAGAGGGGTTGGGTTTATAGGATGGTCTCTCTGAGAACCTGACACTGAAGCCAAAATATGAATGACGAGTGAGCCAAGCAGAGCTCAGGTGTGGAGTAGATCAGTCAGAGGGAGCAGCTGATGTGAAGGTCCCGTGATAGGAGCAGCTTGGCAGATTGGAGGAGCAGAACAGCCGGTGTGGTTTAAGCTCACTGGGTGGGGGTGGTGGGGTGTTCAAAGGTGGCCTGGAAGCAGAGAGGGCTGCCACTATTTCCATGGAGAACAGGGTGGCCGGTGGCCTCTGGACTTGAGCAGCACTGTGGTTCTGAGGACAGGTCACAGAGCACTGGCCATACTGGATAACAAAGTTTGTATTTCATTCTAAAGTGGACAGGAGGCCACTGGACAGTCTTGAGCAGGAGGGGCAGTTGATTTGACTTAGAGTTTTTTCAAAGGTCCCCTCTGCTTCTCTCTGGAGAGTAGGCAGAGGAAGAAGGACCCCAGTTCAGCAGTTTCTGTGGTCCTCTGGATGGTAGTGGCTGGGGTCAGGGTGGTGGAGCAGGCAGAGAGGAGGACCAACTCAGCATATTTTGGAGATGAGCCAACAGGACTACAGATAGATTTAGTATCTGGAGTGAGGGGGAGAAGACTCACAGATAAAGCCTAAATTTCTGGCTTGAGCATTGTGAGAATTGGTATTTATTGAGATAAGGAAGCCAGGGAGGGGCATAGAAAACCTGGCACAAGAACTCTTATTTTATAGAGTATCTGGCTGCCTAGAGTTCCAAGGAATATGTGTGGAGAAACCCTGGGCTTGTGTCACCACGGGGCTGGGCCAGCCCTGGGGCATCCATCTTCATTGTAGGCGTTTGTTTTCTTAAAAGTCAGGACACCCATCTGCCAGTAAGAAAAAACATCCTGCTGTTAGTAAATGCTTTACTTAAAGAAGAGCCAAGCTCACTTAAGCCAGGCTTTTATATTCCAGGATGGTTCTTGCCATTGCGGTGGGGACAGGGCCTGGCTTTTGTAGTTGCTGTCCATCTCCACCTCTCCTTTATCTTGTCCAGATTGGGTTACTTCTGCAGAGGACCGGTTTTATCCATTACGTAGTGATGCTTTCTCATTTTACATCCAGAGGTTAATCTTATTTTCCAGTTCTAGGGCTATGACAGCCTGTGCCAGCATTCTGGCTACAATTTAAAAAAAAAATAGTAAAATTGCCTCACTGGCTTAATTCCATTGTATTACTATCTCCAAACTCTGCCTTTGATCACCAAAATCACAAAGGTAATGGTTTGAATCCCTGGTCCTCAGTATCCGATGTTGGTGCAAGCCCCAAATGCCATGTTTATCTTGGGCCCGTGTTCGAACTTTGCCACATATGAGTACACCTAAATACCGTACACCTTGGGATGATAAATACTGAAACTTGGCACCTTCTCCATGATGTTTGTGAAAAGAGTTGTTGAAGCTGGAGAAGGAAATCTGAGACAATAGCAAGAAGGAATCACAGCAACATTTCCAGTGATGGCCAAATGGAGAGTCGCTTTTACCTCCCTACTGCTGTTCATCAGTCTATGTGATGGCTGAGAACTTGATCCACATTCTGTGGACCGGTCTAGAGTCCAGGAGAGGAAGGAGCCTAGTACCCAAGACTTGCTTCCCTCTCCATCTCCATCTGTGTCCACCTTACATATTATTAGTATTCACCTGTTGACGGAAAACCCAGAAAATTGCTTTATTTAAAACATTTCTTTTGTCTATTCCTTCACTGCAAAAGGAGGTACAGAAAGTATTCCTCAAACTTGGCCACGAAACTCTCCTTACTTTACAGAGCCACATTGTGTTTCTCACCTCACATCCTTTTATAAACATGGTACATAGTATGTATGGATTCCAGAAAGGTAAGTATTTCCATCTTTCATAAGCCAGTAAATGAGTTAAAGTTTTTCTTTTAGTAAGCCCAACCAAGATTCTTCAGATGTACGAATTTATGGTCCACAGCCCAAAACTTAGTACATTTAGCATACTTTAAATGATCATTTTTATACCACTAAGCAAAAGTTTCCAAGACCATCAAAACTTGCAAACATCTATACCCTTTTTGGGTCAACTTTATGGGACAGTCAGGGCATTCATCACAAAAGCACCTGTGTGATGTAGAACCATCTGAGTACTTTAGAGAGGTGTAAAGTTTTTTAACCTGTCAGAGACCCCTTGCTTTACCATTTTATTGTGGGGGGAGAAGGCCTTACAGTGACTGGTTGCAAACAAAGATATTGGGTTTTTTAAAAAAGAAAAAAAGAAGAAAGAAAACCTCATAAGTTTTTGATAATCTTAGTAGCAATTTCCTCACATTGGAAATTCATCAAATCAGGAAAGTTAGACCTAGAAAGAAGGCTCCATGTTGTGGGGAGCGTGGGCAGAGAGAAATTCAGGAGCATTTCCATTGTCATGAGACCCTGTTGTTACCTATGTGTCTAATGTATCTTCTCTCCCTCACTCAGCTCTTCCACTTTTTTCTTTTCCCATCATGCAGTGCACCATCCAAGGACTCATCTCAAAGCAAAATCATCCGCTTCACTCTGGGTCAGAGAAAGATCTCTAGGTTAGACTTCTTGTCCTGCAAAGCATGGTCTCAACCCAACCTATATTGTTCCCTTTGCTCCTGCTGCATCTCCTTTTGGTCCCTCTCCCTGGCTCATGTTTGCAGTTCCAGAAAACCAAACATGCTTTGGCTGATGTTGGAGAATTTTGACAGTGGTTGGGGTGTTTGTTGGGGGGTGGCGATGGGGGAAGGACAGTGTAAGTAAGTGAGGCTGAGGTGTACATAATATGTCTGCATTTCATTGATTTTGGTTTTGATTGCTAGGTCATCAAAATCCATTCTGATTTTATTTACAGGTCTAGGTGGTTTTTGCAGTGGTTTTATGATGAGTTTGGCTTCCTGCTCTCTCCTGACCCTGATCCCATCTCACCTGCATCTCTATGTGTGCTTTTTGTTGTTGTTGTTCAACAAAAACTACTTTTTGTTGTTGCTTTTTGTTGTTGCTGTTGTTAAAATTACTAATATGGGATGGGTTTTCTCTTGAGTTACAAAGAGCTGAGGCCTAACTCCAGTTGGTCAGAGGAGACAAAGCAATAAGGCAGCTGTACCTCATTTCTGTTCCGGATGCTCTGTGTACCATGGAGAGCTCACCTCACTGGCCTGACGTGAACAGTAGACTTGCTCACTGGTTCTCTTGACTCAGGAGTTTGGCGTCCTATCCTTGCATCCTATGAAGAACCAGTCTAGGGTGTTAGACATGCCGATTACACCATTGTATCTACTGTTATTTTAAAGGTAGCAACACCTAACACTTCTTGAATGCTTATTATACATTAGGTTGAATGCATTATTTTATTTAATCTTCACATTAGTCTTCATGT